AGTTCTCCCTGGAATTTGGCTTATCCTTCCAGTTCCCAGACTTCTAAATAGAGTTTTTCCACCTTTTCTTTAACCTCTCATTACCAAGAAAGCAATGGGAATTAAGACAAAGGCTATATTTGAGCTTTTTATACAATTCTGAATTAAAATGGGGAAAAAATCCTGTTTAGCTTAGGCCCCAGTCTTGCAAACATTTATGCAGGTATTTATCTTTAAGAATATGACTAGCCACATTGACACAGTGGTTAGATTCACAAAGGGACTTAGGCACCTAGAAAATCACTGGGATTCACTGGGATTCCTATACCTTGAATGGAGAGAAATACATGTCTAAGAATGGGCCTCACAACAGCCAGCATGCTAGGTGGCACCCCACCTAAGCTAGCCAAAGGGATATAGTGAGGAGAGAGGGCCCCTTTCAGGGAGTTTAGCACCTAAGTCCAGGCTGGAAAGAGGCATTTATTTGTGCTTGGAATTCTAAACTACAAGCCCTCTGCTGGTGGCAGTGGAGCACTGCTGCTGCCAGCACCTCACTTCTAACTTTTAGCCCTGTAGTAAACATGCTCACCTGGGATGTGGGAGACCTCCTGTTCAAGTCCCACCTCTACCTGATGAGAAAAAGGGATTTAAACAGGCATCTGCAACCTCTGAGATCAGTGCTCTAACCACTGGGCTATGGGATATTCTGAGGTGGGGCTCCCTCAATCTCTCCTGTTGCAGCTGTTCCACTTTGGATAAATAATAAATCACTGGAGCCATGGGACTAGGTTCCAGGCCTTCTACACCCTAGGTGAGCATGCTAACCATTAGTCAAAAGAGTCATTCTCAGGCATCTCTCTCTTTCACTGGCCCAATGGCTTTTTAATTATTTATCCAAGGTGGAACAGCCTCAACTTGAGAGACTGAGGGAGCCACCTCCCAGAATATCCCATAGCCCAGAGATTAGGGCACTCATCTGAGAGGTAATATATCCCTCTTCAAATTCCTTCTCCTCATCAGGTAGAGGAGGATTTTAACCAAGGGCTCCCACATCCCCGTAAGAATCCTAACCACTAGGGCACCTGCTCTCCACCCTCAATTTTTGTGGAATTAGGCATTCTCTGAGCACACCTACCGGATCAGGCCCCACAGGCGAGTTAGGTGGAGCAATGCCTATCTTCCCCCTGTTCAGGCACTGCACTGGAGATTAGGCTGGAGAGAGGTGTCTAGATGTCTAGAGCAAGGCTGCAGTGCACGTACCCAGAGGCAGAAACATAAGCACAGAGGGAACTTTCACTGCGAAAACTTAGGCATCCAGTGAGTTTACTACCTACAGGGTTTGGCAGCAGCTAAGCAGCAGTTTTGTGAATACCAGTGGTGCCTAAATCTCAAATGTATGGACCTAAGACCCTGTGCGAATTTAGCCCAATGTGACTACAGATGTGAGTAAAGGTAACCCCAGCTGTAAATGTTTAGAGGATTGGGGCTTAAGTGTCTCCTTGACTCTCCCAGAGCAACAGTTGCTACACATCTTTATTCAAAAAATACAACAGTAGTCTACAGACACTGTAGTTACACCAGTGTGAGGCTATAATTCTTGGACCATTATTTTAGAGTATTGGAGTTTTTTTTAAATTAAAGGCACAGTGCTGAATTTAGGACTGAGGTGAAGGCCTAGCTTCAGGAATCAAATGCTTTAAAACCCCACACCAATATATATATCAAAACCTAAGCTTCAATCCTGCAAGCTGAGGCACAAGTGCTTTTTCAGTGGGACTCCACGAGGGTGTAAGGCAGGGGTAGGCAACCTATGGCACGCGTTCCCAAGGTGGCACGCAAGCTGATTTTCAGTGGCACTCACACTGCCTGGGTCCTGGCCACCGGTCTGGGAGGCTTTGCATTTTAATTTAATTTTAAATGAAGCTTCTTAAACATTTTAAAAACCTTATTTACTTCACATACAACAATAGTTTAGTTATTATAGACTTATAGAAAGAGACATCTAAAAATGTTAAAATGTATTACTGGAACGCGAAACCTTAAATCAGAGTGAATAAATGAAGACTCAGCACAGCACTTCTGAAAGGTTGCCGACCCCTGGTGTAAGCATTTGCTGATGTAGATCAGATTGCAGGATCAGGTCCTAGAAGTGATTTTTACTAAGGTCCCATCCTGTCAAGTACATGCTTAATTTTACTCAGACAAGTACTCCTGCTGAAGCCAAATGGGACTGCTCAGATGAGTAGAGTTAGACAGGTGTGTAAGTTTGGGGTCTAAATGTATCTATTTTTTCAAGTACACCTCTACCTTGATATAACGCAACCCGATATAACACGAATTCGGAATAAAGCAGTAAAGCAGTGCTCCAGGGGGGCAGGGCTGCACACTCCGGCGGATCAAAGCAAGTTCAATATAACACGGTTTCACCTATAATGCGGTAAGATTTTTTGGCTCCCGAGGACAGCGTTATATTGGGATAGAGGTGTATATTAGTTATTTGTATTACTATATGCCTAGGAATGCCAGCCATGGATCAGAGCATCATTGTGCTAGGCACTGTACAAAAACAGAACACCAAGACAGTCCTTGCCCTGAAGAGCTTACAATCTAAATACCTAACTGGCACCTTTGCTGCCCCCAATTTCACATGAGAGAGCATTCATGCCATGGGGGTTATTAAAAAGCCTAGTGCTAAACAATACACCTAGATGCAAAGATTGTTTTTTGCCAGTGGAAAAACAAAAAGCAAAACCCAGCAATTAAAACAAACATCTGCAGCAACATTGGTAACTAATTCATTTTTGTTTTCAGTATTCTTGTATGTGTAGAAAAGCAACACAATGAAGATGTTAAAAACCATACATTAGTGACCAAGCTTATATTTTAGGTGGGCCCAGCTGTCTCTAAGCCCTTATAATTGTAGATATTTCTTTGAGAAAATTCACTGATGGCATAAGCAGGGACAACTCTAATGAAGTCAATAGATTGACAGACATGATCACCAGTGGTGAATTTGATCCAATAAGAAGTCCCTTTATGAGGGATGGAATCAGAGGTACTTGTGACTGTGGTTTTTTTAAATGTGATTTTAACATGTTGCAGTTCTCATTGACTTCAGTGGAAGTTACATGTGCACAAAGGATCCACCAAGCTCTAGATGTGCTTTCCTCTAGAATCTTTGAGAGCGGGCTTTTGTTTGGTGACTTTTCTAGCAGGGAAACTGCTACAGGGGTTCAACGTGTCCAACAAACTGATAATGTCTTAAATAGATAATTGTTCACTTACGTTCAAAATTAAACATTTAATTAGTCGATTTAGTGGTTAACTTTCTGTCCAAAGTCTGACACAGCCAGAATGTTAGCAAATAAAGATCAATATTCTCTCCATGCAATTGTTTCTCTTCTCTCCTGACCCTTCCTTCATCCCAGCTTCTGATTAATCAGGTTGCTTTGATTACAATTTGTGTTATAAATTAGCACTTTGAAAATGAAAAAGCTTCATTACAAACATGAATTCATTAGTCTTCATAACACACCGGAGAGTAGTTATTCCCGTTGGCCATACTTGGAAATGTTAAGTGACTTGTGCCGTGTCACAAAGGGAAGTACATGACCACAGGTGTTCGTTCCTGGATCCCAGTTTATCCCTCCCCAGGCACTCCTCCTCTTCCAAGCCCTCTGGAGAATATTTATAGGAGCAATTCCACTCTGAAATTTAACACTATAAAAACAATACCTTCTTACTTAACAGACATGCTTCCCTTAGTGCAGGGATCGGCAACCTTTGGCACGCGGCTCCCCAGGGTAAGCACCCTGGCGGGCTGGGCCGGTTTGTTTACTTGCCGTGTCAGCAGGTCGGCCGATCGTGCTGCTCCAGGCCAATGGGGGCGGCAGGAAGCGCTCGGCCAGCGCCGCTTCCTGCAGCCCCCATTGGCCTGGACCCGCAAACTGCGGCCAGTGGCAGCCATGATCGGCCAAACCTGCCGACGCGGCAGGTAAACAAACCAGCCCAGCTCGCCAGGGTGCTTACCCTGGGGAGCTGCGTGCCAAAGGTTGCCGATCCCTGCCTTAGTGTATTTAGTCATCTCTGCAACACAAGTTTGTACTGCTTTATTACTTTTAATGCTGCAGAACCACACAGAAAAAATGGAGTAAACTGGATTCTCTTCCTTTCTTGTGCATCATGCACAGAACTGTTTACTAGAGGCCAATTAGCTTGAATTCAGTGGAACTGCACAGATGCAACTTTAGGACATAATTTAACTAGCAGAACCTTTATTGCAAGTGATGATGCAATAAAGGAAAAAACCCAAATTGACTCTCGGAGGCCAGGCTGAGTTAAAGAAAAATATTCACTTGTTTTTACTGCAAGACTGGGTATTGAGAGACAATGACCGCAGAACCCCAGGGCAGCATTTGCACAGTTGCATTACAGAGCAGCATTGCACTTCCAAGCTCTTTTCCTTGCACAGGTGTAAGAGATCAATCTCTTTAAAAACCATTTACATCCTCCCCCTGCCCCCCGCTTTGTGTTACGTATTTGTTTTGTTTCTTTGAATTACAGAATAGCCTGATGGCCTTTTATGTCTTGCTTTTCCTTGCACATCTTTGCAACTAAACCCGCTAGCCAAACCAGCCCCTGAAAGGCTACAAAATGGATTTGTGTAAATAATACATTGATCTGTTTACATGCCGGGCCCTTTTATTGCTTGCTCGGCGGAGATGGAGATGCAGCAGCAGCAGGTCCTTTCAAGGCAGGGTTTGGTTTTCTGTTTTGACCTGGCGACTTCTCTCGGATGCGCCTCCGCTCGCTGGCCACAAGGGGTCCCAGACACGCGCTGCTTCCCAGCCGCTCTTTGTCCTGCTTCTTCCCCCGCGAGCCCGCCTCCCCATCCCGTTCGGAGCTCGCGGCTGGAACCGGGGGAGGGAGGCGGCTGTCGCTGCCGACTTGTACAAGTGGCCGCCAGTCAGGAAGCAGAGCCACGCCCCCGACTCCCTCCCCTGCCTCGCCGGCCGGGCTGCTCCAGCCCCCGCTGCTGTTCCACCTCGCTCGCTTAGCAGGTCAATGAATTGCCAGAGGCTTGAGGCTGAGGAGCTGGAGAAGCCCGGCTCTGGAGCCATCCTCGAATCCCTGCCTAGCAAACATGCGCCTCTGCACTTTCTCTGATTCCCCAGCCAGGAACGTAGCTGCTTGAGAAGTTGGAAAAACCAGGAGGACTAACAGGGGCGTGTAAAGCAATCCGGAGCCACAAAAGGAGGGTGAGTGTGCACGGTGTGCAGCGAGCTCTGCTCTCACCTAGGCTGAGTTCTCGGTGGGCATGAAGTGTGTGCGTCTGTCCCTCGGGGTATAAGCTCTGTGAGCTCAGTTGTTCCATAGTAAATCCCTAGAAGATGGTAGAACTCGCCCCTGTAAAAGGTGGCCCCCACTGAAACTTGGTGGGCAATGGCAATACAAGCTGAAGTATTTTTTTGAAATACTAATGGTGAAAATGTCTGTTGGAGGTCTCTCTTTAAATGATCCATCTCTAAACCAACAATTACCTGTTTGTTTTCTTGGCTGCCCCTTTGCCCAAAACAATGTAGTTCATATTCCAAGCCACAAGCAATGACAATATGGAGTACATTGGATTTTGATAAATAATAAAAATGTAAATAAAGTTACAGCATGAAAATGAACTGAAGATAATAACTTCTGTACAGATAATTATGTTTAATGAGGATTTTTAGCAGACAGTTATATATAGTAGGGACACATACAAATACGTTAGACCAGGTAGGATTCTGTAATGATATTCTAGTCTCCTAGGGAATTATTACAGTTTGCCTTTTGTAACTTACAATTTAAAAAAGCAACAACAATCAAGGAAACTATTTAAACACACAACTGTGAAACAAACAAATATATATTATAGCCACACACTACATATACATATGTACCCACACAAAACATGTACACACAACCATATGCTACAAACACAATTTATATATCTAAGTCATTGAAATGTACAAATAAAACTCATAATATGGCAACATTTGAAGTTGCAACACAAAATAAGAGCTACAGCACTCAAGGTTTAGTCTCATACTGCATCCCTAACTCATACTTGTGTATTTTTCTCCCTCTAGGATAGGGAGAGCTATGAATACAGTTTTTTATGGAAAAATATGGCTACAATATTCATACCTTTGTCTTCCGTTTATGATTTTGTGTGGGTCTACAGTATTTCTATGTTCATATGTGATATTATACATATTCATAGTGGTTCAGTTTTAGAATTCCTGTATAGTTTCTTGTTGACCACAAGTTTCACTGTTCTTTTTAAATATAGAGATCATTATCTGTATATATGTCTCTGTGCATGAAAATTCGTTGTGTGTACATATCACATTAACTTCTCAGGAGCATTATATAATATGAATGTGGTTTTTGGTTGTGTGGGCATGAAATTGTGATAGAAAACTCAGTCTTGAACTGCCCCTGGACAGAGGGGAAAGGAAAGGCAGACTAGTGTGTTATTATGTGTGTGTTCTTCTCTCTGTGTGTGATTGCATCTGAGTCTGTCTGAGTCACTCTGTGTCCATGAACTTTACAAGCATTCAGTTCAATACCATTCAGTGCAGATTCCAGTTGCTGGTTTACAGCCAAGCAGCCAGCCAGCCAACCCACCTGTTAAAATATAACATGTACATTCCAGTCAAAGCACTTGGAAAAGCAACAAAATAACAATAAGAAATAATGTGTTATCTTAACACAGGCACGTGTATTAACTTCTGCCTTGATGTACCATAATGGAAAATGAAGTCTTTGAGTATAAGCCAAATTGCATTTTATTAGAGGTTTGGATTAGTGACTGGTCTGTTGGGGGTTTATTTGGGCAGAGAATTGAGAGTCCACATAAATGAAATATAATTTGACATATACACAACTTAATTTCTACTTGGATAAGAATGCTGTATCTATATCAGGATGGATTTCTACTTCTGTTTTTCATAATATACTGATATGTAATTTTAATTTTATTACCAGAAAAAATTGCGACAGAAATAAACAAGGGTTTATTAAAGTGACTGTTCCAGCAACTACAGTTAAGGCTGCTTCTTCAGCAATTCCATTGCAAAACCACTTCTTCACATACTTAAAAATACCCCACACATCCTGAGTATCAGTGTAGGAACACTGTATCCTTTTTTGTGACTTAATCTTTATACAGTGGCTTGAAGATGTAAAGAGCTATGTACGTGTTAAATATTGCTGTCTATGACATTTTAAAAAATAGTTTGATTTAAATTTCAACAAGTTTTAAATGTACCAGTTTAACACTCTCTTGCACTCACCTTTAAAAATGGTTTGAACATTTAAAAAAAAGTTAAGGGAAAATAATTTGGCAAACAGTAACTACAGTACATGGAGAAATCTAACTACTTCAAGAATCACTGAGCTGTGTAAAGTAAGCGCTATCTAAGGCTATGTATACACTGCACCTTTGTTGGTAAAACTTTTGTCGGTCAGGAGTGTGGAAAAAAACCACACCTCTGATTGACAAAAGTTTTACCCACAAAAAGCACCGGTGTGGCCAGCACACCTACTGACAAAGCTACCACTCCTCGTTGGGGGTGGTTTATTTTGTCGGTGGGAGAGCGCTCTCCTGCTGACAAAGAGTGGCTACACTGTGTACCTTACAGCGGCACTGCTGTAGCAGCCCTGCTGTGCTGCTCTTAGGTGCGCAATGTAGGCATAGCCTTACGAGAAGCAGAATTGTAACTTTTTTCATGAGGATATTTAAGGCCTAGCCAATGCTCATGGAAGTAAGTAGAAAGACACCCACTCACATTAGTGGGCTTTGGATCAGGCTGTTGATACACTTACAATACCAGAACCCACCTCGTGCTAATCCTGTGAAGAGACTGACATGGACAAATTCCTGCACCTCTGCTGATCCTCACTGATTTCATTGGGGCATCGTGTTGATGCAAGGGGTCTGACTGCACTGAGCTTGTTGCAGGATCGGGGTCTGCATAATCTATATGTACTTGCGCGATAAACAGGACTAGTTTTTGAGATGCCATTACATCTCAATTGGACACTGTAAATAGTATTATTGTATTGTAGTGGCTTGGTGTTCAGAAAGTTGTCTGTTACAGTCTGTCACATAGATCAAGCAATCCACTTGTAACTACACTTTTCATGTAAGTGGTTATTTTAGCAAAAGTCAAAATAATATGGATGGATGATAAGTCTTTAAACTTCCAAGTGATGGACTTCACTGACCTGAATGGAGTAGTTTGGAGTTAATTTAGGCAATACCCACTTTAACTCCATTAGGGCCCTGTTCTGCAAGATGTGGATTCAAAAATTCATCGACTTTAAGGCCAGAAGGGACCATTGTTATCATCTAGTCTGACCTCCTGCATAACTGAGGCCACAGAGTTTTACCCAGTAATTTCTGCATTGGACTCATAACTTCTGTTTAAGGAGTGCCCTCACTTGCCTCTCATGTCAGTGGGAATTAAAGGGTGCTCAGAATCACACCGCTCTTTTACAGGTTCGAGCACTAAATGAGTATTAAAAATCCACTTTTTCACAGATCTGTCATTAAATCAGAACTGTTCTGGCATATCATAATTGTGCATATAACTCCCATTAAAGTGTATGAACACATGTGGCACCTTAGAGACTAACAAATTTATTAGAGCATAAGCTTTCGTGGGCTACAACCCA